CAAAGTGTAAGTTGAGATTAGCCCTTGACGAAATGATCTTTTCTTACCAAGTAACTTTGGGAGAGCAAAGGTTGTCGCAATTGGCAAAGAACCACTCTTGTGAGGCCTTTTTTTTTTTTAGCTAAATGTTGAGTGATGGGATGTTTCCATAGAATGATGGGGAGACAGCGGGTGTCCTTGGTGTAGTGACCTTGGAGTCTCTATGAAATGATGACATGTGTCCTCAGTAGGAGTGTCCTTTAACTGACATCTGTCTTTGACATATACGTCCCCCTGAATCATTCCTTATTCGACATGTGTCCTTGGCACTTGGGTTCCCCCCCAGAGCATTCACCAGTTAACACATGTCCTCAGCGTAGTGACCTTCATGTCGGTGAAATATGGACAACTATCTTGATGGTTGGTCCTTGCCAAATAACGATGATAAGTTCCTGAAAAAAAAGGAGAAGGCCAATTGATGCAAACATACCAGTGATCGAGGACAAAGAGGTTATTATGACCTGGAGGCTGGGTTGGTTATCAATCATCAATCACCAATCACCCTTCTCAAGGCAAGCAGAATGATAGGGAAGATAGTCCAGTAACCAATAGTAAGGATACACGAAGTACAAAGCATTTGAAATCTTGACTCCTTGGGGGATAATGGACGAAAGTGTCTCTGCACATGCGCAGCCACAATCAGGGCACATTAAATGACCCCTACAAAAGGATGGGACATATTTTTTGCTCGGCAAGGTTTGAAAGGCAAATGTTAAATGTCTTGAGATCCGAGCATTAAATGTAGAAACTTCTGCCACGTGAAAAGGAATGCCCTCTGCTCAAGGATTGTGCACTACATATTGCCTTCTAAGTGAGTCAATGACGAGTCTTCCCTCCAAGGGACTCAGCTGTCAGCAATAATTAACTTTAGGAGAGGTATAAATGACACTCAAAAACTCAAGTCTAAGGTACGCAAACCCTAACCCAAACAATAGAATTGTGTTTTCCAAACCTTCTTTCACATACTGACTTGACCGTTGGAGAGGTCACGCTGAAAAACACTCTGACGCCCTTTTAACCCTTCTTTTTGAGTAACATGACTGTGTTCGAGGATTTACGAGTGAGTAGATTCTTCGTAAGGAGTTTCATCACCATCTATTACGATTTCTCAACATCTATTTGTTGTGGAACATTTGACTTTTCAGGCAAACTCGAGTTCATGTGGGAAGAGATCTGTCAATTTATTCATTGTGTTAGAATCATTGCGCACATTGAGCTTTTCATCGTTCTTTAAAAAAAATTACAACTAGCTAGGGGCATACTGAGCCTTACCCCCTCAATGCAATCTACTTACATTCAAAACAAAAAGGAATAAAAATGAATGTCTTGACATAATGGAAGGAAGAAATAAAATGAATTAAGTGTTCTTCATTAAATGCTGAAATTGTATGTAGTCTTGCATCAATAGTCCTACGAGCTCTTGGCAGCTGGTGATGATCACTCTTGTGGGGCTTTAGGCGTTACCATGTGTATAGTTCTTGCATATAGCAAGCCAATTTTTATCTTGGAAATAATTTAAATATGATTAAATGATTAATTCATCAAGAAGAGTTGTTCATTATGGCATTTTAGTTTATGATGTACTCTCTCTCTCTCTCTCTCTCTCGTATTTCTGATAATTTTATGGTTGTGGTTTTACACACTATTTATAATCATAATTTTAGAGTAAACTCTTGAATTCGCTTCATTTGATTCTTTATTGTGGATCCAATATATCTCTTGCCTTAGTTTCGTGTTTTTGGGATGTTTGAAAGTGTTTTTGGTCTATGACATTTTAGATTTGTCTATTGGTTTTGCTTCTTGCATCCATCTCAAGGTAATGTGGTATGATTATTTCGTATATTGATTTTCCCTGCGTGCAAAATTTAAGTAACGTTTGATGATGTTCTTTTATTATTTTTACACATTTTAAAAAAATGTTTCTATTGCATTTTTGCTTATATGCTATTTGGTGGTGTGTGATTATTCATTTTGAACTCATGACTTATCATAAGCACTTTAGATGGAAAAAAAAATACTTCGGAAAACTTATTTAAAGTACTTTTGAATAATTTTACCACACTATTGATTCTCATTAATTATTCGGACTTTTTAATTCATAAAGAAGTACGGTAAAAACTAGAAAGCGAAGCCTATATCTTCTTAAAAAAACACTTTCTAAAGTGCTTTGATTTTAAATCCATCACCATTACTACCACCACCCTCGCTACTACAAGTGCCAGTTACCACCCCCACCACCAAAAAATAATATTAAAAAAAAACAAAATCTAGCATTGTTGCAATCCCCCCCCCCCAACCACCGCCACCATCCAAACCCTAAGAATATGTTTGGATTTAAGTAGTAAAAGGATGGATTGGATTAATTTAATTCGGTAATAATATAAAACTAAGTTTGGATGAAGTTATAGTGACCTAGTAGTATTTTTAATTAATTCCGACTCGGTTCACTATTGTCATTTAATACCTAATAATAGCTAGTAATGAATACAATATAAAAAGTGGTATTGTTTTTTGAGAAAATTCTATTTTGCCCCCTGAAAGATACAAAAAATTTCAGTTTGTCCATTGAATGATTAATTTTTCCACAATGCCCCTGAAATAAATAAAAACGTTGTAATGTGGTCCAAAAATATTTTTATTGCAACATTTTTGAACCATATTGTAATATTTTTATTTCTTTGAGAGACAATGTAAAAAAATTAATAATTCAGGGGACAAACTAAGAATTTTTATATCTTTCAGGGGCAAAATGAAGTTTTTCCTTATTTTTAACAAATTAAGTATTAAAAATATAATGACTTTATTATCTTTACAAACTTAGAGTCACGCTATCATATAAAAGCTACATATTATGTAAATTTTTACTCTCAATATTTATTTTATCATTTTTAATTTAATATCATATACTATTAGTTAATTCAAATATAAATTTGATATTATAATTATAATTTATATATTATCTCAATTTTAATCCAAATTTAATATAAAAAAATAAGATTAAATAGTACTCTTGTTAACGCCATTTTATGGAATGGATGGAACCTAAGAAAAATGCTACCCTTATGAAATTTTCTTATCAAATCTTTCAATCCAAATGATGTGACATAATCTCCTTCATTGAATATTTAATGAAAACTACTAATCTAATGATAAAAAATTATACCACATCATTTATGATGAAAATTTGGTAAAACAAATTGGTAAACATAACATTATCTGAAAACTAATTACCCAATCTCATCAATTATTTGTACCTAACCAAACATGCCCTAAATAGTCTAATATTCAGCACAACCTTAAAACACTAACTGATCCCAAGCTCGTTCGCAAAACATATCACAAGCCGTGTTAACAAATCGGGTAAACTTCAACGTGAAAAAAAAGAAGATAAAAACAGAGGAATACGTGGGACATTTTCAGAACGCAACAAATGACGACACGTATCCTTGACACCAATGAAGCATCTCTACTATAATAATGACATGTGTTATCGGCATCCTTAGCCCTCTTGCGCAAGGGGAATAATTCCCCGAGGGGGGCCGAGGGACACCGAGACGGCATGGATGACACATATCCCTCGGCTCAGATTGATGATATCGGTCCTGATGTGTGCATGCTCCTTCGGCGCCGAAGTGTATCTACTGGAATGTGGACTTTTTCACTCATACAAGGATTGATGATTAATAGGTGACTAGCATAGGCTAGGTTAGACTAGGCTAGGCTAGCCATCATAACAGCGTTCTACTCAATGATGTCAGGAGACACAAGAATGCAAAAGATTCAACCAATAAGGAATGAACACGTGGCATGCGGTGTCAGATCAAAGACAAAAGGATCAGAATGCCCTTGCTGACATATGACTTGAACAAACACACATTTAATGTATCCCCTTCTTGATGATACAACATTTAAGGCATGGGGACCGGGAAGTGAAAGACATTAAATGCTCCCATGCCTGGGCATTTAATACTCTCGCCGAGGAAAGGGCATTAAATATTCGACAGGCCGAGGGAAAAACATCTATTGCTCGGCGTCCCGAGTAGTTAAGGCTGAATGCATTCCCCACTAAAGGAAAAGGGGGCACATTGCCCCATCTCTAATGATTGCCTACTAGTTATATTATCAGTAATAATGAACTTTTGAAGGTATAAATAGTCTTCAAAAACATATTGCAAAGGTATGCAAGAACTTCTGAAAAGAACCGTAGTGCTTTCTTCTTTCCCTCTCTCAAAGAACTGACTTGATCGTCGGAGGAGATACGCTGGAGAGCACTCCGACACCCTTCTAACCTGTTTTTCTGTGATACAGGATCCCCCCACAGTCTTCCAGGACCGGTCATGCGATCCAAGAAACAATTCATCACCAGTCATTAGGGTCCCTTTGTTCCTCTCAACCTACTTCTTGTTACTAAAACTCACTTTCGGATGGGTCGAAAGTCTACCAGAGGCAATCGGAGATTCTGAAAATGAACCTTCTGTTCCGCCAAAATTACTGTCTTGTCGAATCACAGTTCATTGTGGGAGATATCTGTTCCTACTTCTACTGTTGTGCGAAAATCAACACGCACATTCAACATGAAAAAAAAAAGAAGTTAAAAACAGAGGAAGACCAGATATCGAAAAGAGTATGATTTTTTTTTTAAAATAATGCTTCTTTGATATCCTCACAAATCATTACAATATGGGTGTTGTCTGATAAACAGATGGTAAAGCTTGCAACAAAATTTTATTAAAGATGATGACCCAATTTGGTCCCAACAATCAGGGTACTGGAAGAGGTGAACTGGGAACCAGCAGGGGGGAATATGGTCACCACAAATGTTACTTCTGGCATCAACAAGACAATGGAATCGGCCAATAACCTACTCAACATACCATGCTACATGGCGAAAAGGAAAAGCAGAAGTTGAAAATAAATGATTGCTTCGTGACAGCCGTGATCTTGTGCTGCATCTCTCGAAATCAAAGACACCTTGCAATGCGTCTGTAAACTGCTTGAAAAGTTTGCCCCCCATTCCGCGCTACCTTTTGTCCTTCCTCAGTTGCAGAGCTCAAGAGCTTTACGACCGGATCAGCTTCAAGTTCTTCGTGTGTGAGAGCTTCAAACATAGGGTGCCCATCCAAACAAGACTTCATCCACTCTCCAAGTTCTTCCACATCTGTGATTGTGTATATAATTCCACCAACCCCAAGAGCATAAGCATACTCATCTAGCAAATGTGGGCTGATCACCCGACGTCGGTGGTTTTTCTCTTTAAAGTGAGGATCAGGGAACAGGAAAAACATCTTTGAAAGTTGTCCCTTTTCAAAGTAATTCGGAATATATTTCATGGAGTTAGTCCGAACTACTGAAACATTCTGGTATTGACCAGGAATAGCGATCCTCAAAGCTAATATACGTTCCTTGACATACTCCGTCACCTTGTCCCTGAGTTCCATTCCAATCATCAGGGTTTCAGGGAAGAGAGTTGAAAGACTGATTAGAAGTCCTCCAAAACCGCAACCTATGTCTGCAAACTGGATCTTTTTGGAACCATCAACTTGATCAGATGATGGGAAGAGTTGAGGGTAATGAAGAGGATAGTCAACCTGATTAGGGGAGATAGGAACTGGGAAGTGGGAGTCACTTAATGGATTGCTGTGTGCCCGTGCTCGATAGAAACGCTTACGCGGCAGCCGAGTTGTCTTGCTGATGGTAGAGTTTGACTCTTGCTCCAACATCTCCTTTTATAAAAACTGCCTACCAGCAATAGTTAGAATACATGAATTGCAAAAGATTACAGCTGGATTCACAGTGACATGATTGCAATCTCCTAGCATACAATGATTGACTCAATTTCCGTTATTGTTTTTAACAATTGGGAGAGACAAATCCTGAAATCTAAAACTTATATCTCAACAGTTTAGTTAACCATTACAAAAATGGGGGGAAAAGCGCATAGTATGCAATTCCCAAAAAATTAGCATTAAAATTACACAGAATGTGCCAAAAAACCTAATTAAATGTTGAACACTCTAACTTTCCCCCCAAAAAAAAAACATACAGAAAGCCAAATCTTATATTGAAGAGAAGAAAGTTAACATAGGTGGTGGACAAGAAATATAAATCCTTAGTACAATAGAAAAGAATAAAAACAAAAAATTACAAGGAAAAACCATTAAAATTAGTCACCTGGCGCAATCCAATTTGACTCTGACATCAGTCGGAGTGAATTTTGCCCATCCAACTCTGAACTACAATAACTCCGCCTTGTCGGAGTCAGAGTGGAGACAGAGCAGATAATCGGGGATTTGGGCAAAATCATGAAGGTAAGCAGAAAAAAAAAAGAATATCTCTTAAGAAGTCCAAGACTACAAGGACAAGTCCAATTGTATATCACTCCAAGAACACTCCATGAAAATCCACATAATATGCACAACCAGAATTATACATACATTCTATGCCGCATTACACTTTGCTGAATACAAAGGTTTTCTTCTTGGTGCGTAAAATATGAATTATAAGGAAAAACACTGATGAGCCGATCTCGAATTAATAGTTTGCATTAACCTACTCTAGGTACCTAAAAGAATAAACCCAAAACATGGGAAAACCCCAATTATTTTTCTTTCTCTTACATGAGCAGATCTCAAACACACAGGTTTAATAATGTCTGCACATACCTCTCAAGCACATAACAGAACCTCAATCGCAATCGTGAGAGCTTCGAAATCAGGTTTGGTTCGAAATTTGGGGATTAAGGGTAAAAAAATTTAAAAACAGATTTGATGCTCGAAGTCTAGAGAGAGAGAGAACTCTGCTCAGTCGCTGGAAGTCTGGGGTGCAGTGGATTTAGGGTTCGGAGTTTTCGAAGTGGCTGGAGAGTGTAGGCGCAAACTAATTTGACACTTCCTGCATTGGCTTTAGACACTTCCGAAAGCACCATTGTCAACCAAATGGAAAATACAGAGCCAGCTTATATTTCTGCCCATTCACCCACCTCCAACTTCTTTGAGGATTGGGGCAAACTGCTGGATGGTGAAGCGTAGAAGACAACCCCAAAACTAATTTGTACAAAGAAACATAGCAGTCCTATAAAATTGCCTCCGAAAACAACATATTACTGAAGTTTGAAATAAACATTGCACACGAATGACCTATAAACCCTAAATCCAGAAAATTAACAACAAAATAGAAAATTTAACCAAATTCAATCAAGAACTCAATATTGATACCAACTCCAAAATTCAGAAATAAAATTCGAATCATGAGAAATGAAAGTCTGAAGAGCAACTTAAACTTACAGAGAGAGGAGAATCGATGCTCTCGAGCGAGGAATAAGTGGAAGAAGGACGTAGATGTTGGCAGCTTCGACCTTCGATACCAACTTCGATACCAGATTGTCGAGGAGGCGGGTGGCCGAGTGCAGGGATCAGCGATTGACTCTGAGAGAGAGAGAGAGAGAGAGAGAGAGAGATTAGTCAACGGTGGAGGCGGGCCGCTGACAGAAATCTCCACCCCTTCCTTAGGCTCAAATTTAGGTTTGAGTAAAAAAATTTGAAAACTTGATCTAATTAAACTTATATCAAATCAAAGGAAATTTATTTTTTAACTCAAATTAAGAGACTCAAATTTTTATTTAAATTTTTAATTGTGAAATTTCACAATTTTTTAAAAATTTAATGATCATCTTTATTCCCTTTTAAATTTAAATTTGTTCTCATTTAAATTTGAGTTTATCCGTTAAAATCTTTTATATCAAATCAACTTTTTACTCAAATACTAATTTAAGTTTGAATAAAAATTTGAGTTATGGTTGAAAATTCTCTTAGAACTTTCAACTTATATATATAAAATCACAAATTCATAAATTAAATAAACATGCAAATATATCAAATAAACTCAATGGAACTTAGATNCTCTCTCTCTCTCTCTCTCTCGTATTTCTGATAATTTTATGGTTGTGGTTTTACACACTATTTATAATCATAATTTTAGAGTAAACTCTTGAATTCGCTTCATTTGATTCTTTATTGTGGATCCAATATATCTCTTGCCTTAGTTTCGTGTTTTTGGGATGTTTGAAAGTGTGTTTGGTCTATGACATTTTAGATTTGTCTATTGGTTTTGCTTCTTGCATCCATCTCAAGGTAATGTGGTATGATTATTTCGTATATTGATTTTCCCTGCGTGCAAAATTTAAGTAACGTTTGATGATGTTCTTTTATTATTTTTACACATTTTAAAAAAATGTTTCTATTGCATTTTTGCTTATATGCTATTTGGTGGTGTGTGATTATTCATTTTGAACTCATGACTTATCATAAGCACTTTAGATGGAAAAAAAAAATCTTCGGAAAACTTATTTAAAGTACTTTTGAATAATTTTACCACACTATTGATTCTCATTAATTATTCGGACTTTTTAATTCATAAAGAAGTACGGTAAAAACTAGAAAGCGAAGCCTATATCTTCTTAAAAAAACACTTTCTAAAGTGCTTTGATTTTAAATCCATCACCATTACTACCACCACCCTCGCTACTACAAGTGCCAGTTACCACCCCCACCACCAAAAAATAATATTAAAAAAAAACAAAATCTAGCATTGTTGCAATCCCCCCCCCCCAACCACCGCCACCATCCAAACCCTAAGAATATGTTTGGATTTAAGTAGTAAAAGGATGGATTGGATTAATTTAATTCGGTAATAATATAAAACTAAGTTTGGATGAAGTTATAGTGACCTAGTAGTATTTTTAATTAATTCCGACTCGGTTCACTATTGTCATTTAATACCTAATAATAGCTAGTAATGAATACAATATAAAAAGTGGTATTGTTTTTTGAGAAAATTCTATTTTGCCCCCTGAAAGATACAAAAAATTTCAGTTTGTCCATTGAATGATTAATTTTTCCACAATGCCCCTGAAATAAATAAAAACGTTGTAATGTGGTCCAAAAATATTTTTATTGCAACATTTTTGAACCATATTGTAATATTTTTATTTCTTTGAGAGACAATGTAAAAAAATTAATAATTCAGGGGACAAACTAAGAATTTTTATATCTTTCAGGGGCAAAATGAAGTTTTTCCTTATTTTTAACAAATTAAGTATTAAAAATATAATGACTTTATTATCTTTACAAACTTAGAGTCACGCTATCATATAAAAGCTACATATTATGTAAATTTTTACTCTCAATATTTATTTTATCATTTTTAATTTAATATCATATACTATTAGTTAATTCAAATATAAATTTGATATTATAATTATAATTTATATATTATCTCAATTTTAATCCAAATTTAATATAAAAAAATAAGATTAAATAGTACTCTTGTTAACGCCATTTTATGGAATGGATGGAACCTAAGAAAAATGCTACCCTTATGAAATTTTCTTATCAAATCTTTCAATCCAAATGATGTGACATAATCTCCTTCATTGAATATTTAATGAAAACTACTAATCTAATGATAAAAAATTATACCACATCATTTATGATGAAAATTTGGTAAAACAAATTGGTAAACATAACATTATCTGAAAACTAATTACCCAATCTCATCAATTATTTGTACCTAACCAAACATGCCCTAAATAGTCTAATATTCAGCACAACCTTAAAACACTAACTGATCCCAAGCTCGTTCGCAAAACATATCACAAGCCGTGTTAACAAATCGGGTAAACTTCAACGTGAAAAAAAAGAAGATAAAAACAGAGGAATACGTGGGACATTTTCAGAACGCAACAAATGACGACACGTATCCTTGACACCAATGAAGCATCTCTACTATAATAATGACATGTGTTATCGGCATCCTTAGCCCTCTTGCGCAAGGGGAATAATTCCCCGAGGGGGGCCGAGGGACACCGAGACGGCATGGATGACACATATCCCTCGGCTCAGATTGATGATATCGGTCCTGATGTGTGCATGCTCCTTCGGCGCCGAAGTGTATCTACTGGAATGTGGACTTTTTCACTCATACAAGGATTGATGATTAATAGGTGACTAGCATAGGCTAGGTTAGACTAGGCTAGGCTAGCCATCATAACAGCGTTCTACTCAATGATGTCAGGAGACACAAGAATGCAAAAGATTCAACCAATAAGGAATGAACACGTGGCATGCGGTGTCAGATCAAAGACAAAAGGATCAGAATGCCCTTGCTGACATATGACTTGAACAAACACACATTTAATGTATCCCCTTCTTGATGATACAACATTTAAGGCATGGGGACCGGGAAGTGAAAGACATTAAATGCTCCCATGCCTGGGCATTTAATACTCTCGCCGAGGGAAGGGCATTAAATATTCGACAGGCCGAGGGAAAAACATCTATTGCTCGGCGTCCCGAGTAGTTAAGGCTGAATGCATTCCCCACTAAAGGAAAAGGGGGCACATTGCCCCATCTCTAATGATTGCCTACTAGTTATATTATCAGTAATAATGAACTTTTGAAGGTATAAATAGTCTTCAAAAACATATTGCAAAGGTATGCAAGAACTTCTGAAAAGAACCGTAGTGCTTTCTTCTTTCCCTCTCTCAAAGAACTGACTTGATCGTCGGAGGAGATACGCTGGAGAGCACTCCGACACCCTTCTAACCTGTTTTTCTGTGATACAGGATCCCCCCACAGTCTTCCAGGACCGGTCATGCGATCCAAGAAACAATTCATCACCAGTCATTAGGGTCCCTTTGTTCCTCTCAACCTACTTCTTGTTACTAAAACTCACTTTCGGATGGGTCGAAAGTCTACCAGAGGCAATCGGAGATTCTGAAAATGAACCTTCTGTTCCGCCAAAATTACTGTCTTGTCGAATCACAGTTCATTGTGGGAGATATCTGTTCCTACTTCTACTGTTGTGCGAAAATCAACACGCACATTCAACATGAAAAAAAAAAGAAGTTAAAAACAGAGGAAGACCAGATATCGAAAAGAGTATGATTTTTTTTTTAAAATAATGCTTCTTTGATATCCTCACAAATCATTACAATATGGGTGTTGTCTGATAAACAGATGGTAAAGCTTGCAACAAAATTTTATTAAAGATGATGACCCAATTTGGTCCCAACAATCAGGGTACTGGAAGAGGTGAACTGGGAACCAGCAGGGGGGAATATGGTCACCACAAATGTTACTTCTGGCATCAACAAGACAATGGAATCGGCCAATAACCTACTCAACATACCATGCTACATGGCGAAAAGGAAAAGCAGAAGTTGAAAATAAATGATTGCTTCGTGACAGCCGTGATCTTGTGCTGCATCTCTCGAAATCAAAGACACCTTGCAATGCGTCTGTAAACTGCTTGAAAAGTTTGCCCCCCATTCCGCGCTACCTTTTGTCCTTCCTCAGTTGCAGAGCTCAAGAGCTTTACGACCGGATCAGCTTCAAGTTCTTCGTGTGTGAGAGCTTCAAACATAGGGTGCCCATCCAAACAAGACTTCATCCACTCTCCAAGTTCTTCCACATCTGTGATTGTGTATATAATTCCACCAACCCCAAGAGCATAAGCATACTCATCTAGCAAATGTGGGCTGATCACCCGACGTCGGTGGTTTTTCTCTTTAAAGTGAGGATCAGGGAACAGGAAAAACATCTTTGAAAGTTGTCCCTTTTCAAAGTAATTCGGAATATATTTCATGGAGTTAGTCCGAACTACTGAAACATTCTGGTATTGACCAGGAATAGCGATCCTCAAAGCTAATATACGTTCCTTGACATACTCCGTCACCTTGTCCCTGAGTTCCATTCCAATCATCAGGGTTTCAGGGAAGAGAGTTGAAAGACTGATTAGAAGTCCTCCAAAACCGCAACCTATGTCTGCAAACTGGATCTTTTTGGAACCATCAACTTGATCAGATGATGGGAAGAGTTGAGGGTAATGAAGAGGATAGTCAACCTGATTAGGGGAGATAGGAACTGGGAAGTGGGAGTCACTTAATGGATTGCTGTGTGCCCGTGCTCGATAGAAACGCTTACGCGGCAGCCGAGTTGTCTTGCTGATGGTAGAGTTTGACTCTTGCTCCAACATCTCCTTTTATAAAAACTGCCTACCAGCAATAGTTAGAATACATGAATTGCAAAAGATTACAGCTGGATTCACAGTGACATGATTGCAATCTCCTAGCATACAATGATTGACTCAATTTCCGTTATTGTTTTTAACAATTGGGAGAGACAAATCCTGAAATCTAAAACTTATATCTCAACAGTTTAGTTAACCATTACAAAAATGGGGGGAAAAGCGCATAGTATGCAATTCCCAAAAAATTAGCATTAAAATTACACAGAATGNTTCGGCGCCGAAGTGTATCTACTGGAATGTGGACTTTTTCACTCATACAAGGATTGATGATTAATAGGTGACTAGCATAGGCTAGGTTAGACTAGGCTAGGCTAGCCATCATAACAGCGTTCTACTCAATGATGTCAGGAGACACAAGAATGCAAAAGATTCAACCAATAAGGAATGAACACGTGGCATGCGGTGTCAGATCAAAGACAAAAGGATCAGAATGCCCTTGCTGACATATGACTTGAACAAACACACATTTAATGTATCCCCTTCTTGATGATACAACATTTAAGGCATGGGGACCGGGAAGTGAAAGACATTAAATGCTCCCATGCCTGGGCATTTAATACTCTCGCCGAGGGAAGGGCATTAAATATTCGACAGGCCGAGGGAAAAACATCTATTGCTCGGCGTCCCGAGTAGTTAAGGCTGAATGCATTCCCCACTAAAGGAAAAGGGGGCACATTGCCCCATCTCTAATGATTGCCTACTAGTTATATTATCAGTAATAATGAACTTTTGAAGGTATAAATAGTCTTCAAAAACATATTGCAAAGGTATGCAAGAACTTCTGAAAAGAACCGTAGTGCTTTCTTCTTTCCCTCTCTCAAAGAACTGACTTGATCGTCGGAGGAGATACGCTGGAGAGCACTCCGACACCCTTCTAACCTGTTTTTCTGTGATACAGGATCCCCCCACAGTCTTCCAGGACCGGTCATGCGATCCAAGAAACAATTCATCACCAGTCATTAGGGTCCCTTTGTTCCTCTCAACCTACTTCTTGTTACTAAAACTCACTTTCGGATGGGTCGAAAGTCTACCAGAGGCAATCGGAGATTCTGAAAATGAACCTTCTGTTCCGCCAAAATTACTGTCTTGTCGAATCACAGTTCATTGTGGGAGATATCTGTTCCTACTTCTACTGTTGTGCGAAAATCAACACGCACATTCAACATGAAAAAAAAAAGAAGTTAAAAACAGAGGAAGACCAGATATCGAAAAGAGTATGATTTTTTTTTTAAAATAATGCTTCTTTGATATCCTCACAAATCATTACAATATGGGTGTTGTCTGATAAACAGATGGTAAAGCTTGCAACAAAATTTTATTAAAGATGATGACCCAATTTGGTCCCAACAATCAGGGTACTGGAAGAGGTGAACTGGGAACCAGCAGGGGGGAATATGGTCACCACAAATGTTACTTCTGGCATCAACAAGACAATGGAATCGGCCAATAACCTACTCAACATACCATGCTACATGGCGAAAAGGAAAAGCAGAAGTTGAAAATAAATGATTGCTTCGTGACAGCCGTGATCTTGTGCTGCATCTCTCGAAATCAAAGACACCTTGCAATGCGTCTGTAAACTGCTTGAAAAGTTTGCCCCCCATTCCGCGCTACCTTTTGTCCTTCCTCAGTTGCAGAGCTCAAGAGCTTTACGACCGGATCAGCTTCAAGTTCTTCGTGTGTGAGAGCTTCAAACATAGGGTGCCCATCCAAACAAGACTTCATCCACTCTCCAAGTTCTTCCACATCTGTGATTGTGTATATAATTCCACCAACCCCAAGAGCATAAGCATACTCATCTAGCAAATGTGGGCTGATCACCCGACGTCGGTGGTTTTTCTCTTTAAAGTGAGGATCAGGGAACAGGAAAAACATCTTTGAAAGTTGTCCCTTTTCAAAGTAATTCGGAATATATTTCATGGAGTTAGTCCGAACTACTGAAACATTCTGGTATTGACCAGGAATAGCGATCCTCAAAGCTAATATACGTTCCTTGACATACTCCGTCACCTTGTCCCTGAGTTCCATTCCAATCATCAGGGTTTCAGGGAAGAGAGTTGAAAGACTGATTAGAAGTCCTCCAAAACCGCAACCTATGTCTGCAAACTGGATCTTTTTGGAACCATCAACTTGATCAGATGATGGGAAGAGTTGAGGGTAATGAAGAGGATAGTCAACCTGATTAGGGGAGATAGGAACTGGGAAGTGGGAGTCACTTAATGGATTGCTGTGTGCCCGTGCTCGATAGAAACGCTTACGCGGCAGCCGAGTTGTCTTGCTGATGGTAGAGTTTGACTCTTGCTCCAACATCTCCTTTTATAAAAACTGCCTACCAGCAATAGTTAGAATACATGAATTGCAAAAGATTACAGCTGGATTCACAGTGACATGATTGCAATCTCCTAGCATACAATGATTGACTCAATCTCCGTTATTGTTTTTAACAATTGGGAGAGACAAATCCTGAAATCTAAAACTTATATCTCAACAGTTTAGTTAACCATTACAAAAATGGGGGGAAAAGCGCATAGTATGCAATTCCCAAAAAATTAGCATTAAAATTACACAGAATGCGCCAAAAAACCTAATTAAATGTTGAACTCTCTAACTTTCCCCCCAAAAAAAAACATACAGAAAGCCAAATCTTATATTGAAGAGAAGAAAGTTAACATAGGTGGTGGACAAGAAATATAAATCCTTAGTACAATAGAAAAGAATAAAAACAAAAAATTACAAGGAAAAACCATTAAAATTAGTCACCTGGCGCAATCCAATTTGACTCTGACATCAGTCGGAGTGAATTTTGCCCATCCAACTCTGAACTACAATATAACTCCGCCTTGTCGGAGTCAGAGTGGAGACAGAGCAGATAATCGGTGNGGCGTCCCGAGTAGTTAAGGCTGAATGCATTCCCCACTAAAGGAAAAGGGGGCACATTGCCCCATCTCTAATGATTGCCTACTAGTTATATTATCAGTAATAATGAACTTTTGAAGGTATAAATAGTCTTCAAAAACATATTGCAAAGGTATGCAAGAACTTCTGAAAAGAACCGTAGTGCTTTCTTCTTTCCCTCTCTCAAAGAACTGACTTGATCGTCGGAGGAGATACGCTGGAGAGCACTCCGACACCCTTCTAACCTGTTTTTCTGTGATACAGGATCCCCCCACAGTCTTCCAGGACCGGTCATGCGATCCAAGAAACAATTCATCACCAGTCATTAGGGTCCCTTTGTTCCTCTCAACCTACTTCTTGTTACTAAAACTCACTTTCGGATGGGTCGAAAGTCTACCAGAGGCAATCGGAGATTCTGAAAATGAACCTTCTGTTCCGCCAAAATTACTGTCTTGTCGAATCACAGTTCATTGTGGGAGATATCTGTTCCTACTTCTACTGTTGTGCGAAAATCAACACGCACATTCAACATGAAAAAAAAAAGAAGTTAAAAACAGAGGAAGACCAGATATCGAAAAGAGTATGATTTTTTTTTTAAAATAATGCTTCTTTGATATCCTCACAAATCATTACAATATGGGTGTTGTCTGATAAACAGATGGTAAAGCTTGCAACAAAATTTTATTAAAGATGATGACCCAATTTGGTCCCAACAATCAGGGTACTGGAAGAGGTGAACTGGGAACCAGCAGGGGGGAATATGGTCACCACAAATGTTACTTCTGGCATCAACAAGACAATGGAATCGGCCAATAACCTACTCAACATACCATGCTACATGGCGAAAAGGAAAAGCAGAAGTTGAAAATAAATGATTGCTTCGTGACAGCCGTGATCTTGTGCTGCATCTCTCGAAATCAAAGACATCTTGCAATGCGTCTGTAAACTGCTTGAAAAGTTTGCCCCCCATTCCGCGCTACCTTTTGTCCTTCCTCAGTTGCAGAGCTCAAGAGCTTTACGACTGGATCAGCTTCAAGTTCTTCGTGTGTGAGAGCTTCAAACATAGGGTGCCCATCCAAACAAGACTTCATCCACTCTCCAAGTTCTTCCACATCTGTGATTGTGTATATAATTCCACCAACCCCAAGAGCATAAGCATACTCATCTAGCAAATGTGGGCTGATCACCCGACGTCGGTGGTTTTTCTCTTTAAAGTGAGGATCAGGGAACAGGAAAAACATCTTTGAAAGTTGTCCCTTTTCAAAGTAATTCGGAATATATTTCATGGAGTTAGTCCGAACTACTGAAACATTCTGGTATTGACCAGGATTAGCGATCCTCAAAGCTAATATACGTTCCTTGACATACTCCGTCACCTTGTCCCTGAGTTCCATTCCAATCATCAGGGTTTCAGGGAAGAGAGTTGAAAGACTGATTAGAAGTCCTCCAAAACCGCAACCTATGTCTGCAAACTGGATCTTTTTGGAACCATCAACTTGATCAGATGATGGGAAGAGTTGAGGGTAATGAAGAGGATAGTCAACCTGATTAGGGGAGATAGGAACTGGGAAGTGGGAGTCACTTAATGGATTGCTGTGTGCCCGTGCTCGATAGAAACGCTTACGCGGCAGCCGAGTTGTCTTGCTGATGGTAGAGTTTGACTCTTGCTCCAACATCTCCTTTTATAAAAACTGCATACCAGCAATAGTTAGAATACATGAATTGCAAAAGATTACAGCTGGATTCACAGTGACATGATTGCAATCTCCTAGCATACAATGATTGACTCAATCTCCGTTATTGTTTTTAACAATTGGGAGAGACAAATCCTGAAATCTAAAACTTATATCTCAACAGTTTAGTTAACCATTACAAAAATGGGGGGAAAAGCGCATAGTATGCAATTCCCAAAAAATTAGCATTAAAATTACACAGAATGTGCCAAAAAACCTAATTAAATGTTGAACACTCTAACTTTCCCCCCAAAAAAAAAACATACAGAAAGCCAAATCTTATATTGAAGAGAAGAAAGTTAACATAGGTGGTGGACAAGAAATATAAATCCTTAGTACAATAGAAAAGAATAAAAACAAAAAATTACAAGGAAAAACCATTAAAATTAGTCACCTGGCGCAATCCAATTTGACTCTGACATCAGTCGGAGTGAATTTTGCCCATCCAACTCTGAACTACAATAACTCCGCCTTGTCGGAGTCAGAGTGGAGACAGAGCAGATAATCGGGGATTTGGGCAAAATCATGAAGGTAAGCAGAAAAAAAAAAGAATATCTCTTAAGAAGTCCAAGACTACAAGGACAAGTCCAATTGTATATCACTCCAAGAACACTCCATGAAAATCCACATAATATGCACAACCAGAATTATACATACATTCTATGCCGCATTACACTTTGCTGAATACAAAGGTTTTCTTCTTGGTGCGTAAAATATGAATTATAAGGAAAAACACTGATGAGCCGATCTCGAATTAATAGTTTGCATTAACCTACTCTAGGTACCTAAAAGAATAAACCCAAAACATGGGAAAACCCCAATTATTTTTCTTTCTCTTACATGAGCAGATCTCAAACACACAGGTTTAATAATGTCTGCACATACCTCTCAAGCACATAACAGAACCTCAATCGCAATCGTGAGAGCTTCGAAATCAGGTTTGGTTCGAAATTTGGGGATTAAGGGTAAAAAAATTTAAAAACAGATTTGATGCTCGAAGTCTAGAGAGAGAGAGAACTCTGCTCAGTCGCTGGAAGTCTGGGGTGCAGTGGATTTAGGGTTCGGAGTTTTCGAAGTGGCTGGAGAGTGTAGGCGCAAACTAATTTGACACTTCCTGCATTGGCTTTAGACACTTCCGAAAGCACCATTGTCAACCAAATGGAAAATACAGAGCCAGCTTATATTTCTGCCCATTCACCCACCTCCAACTTCTTTGAGGATTGGGGCAAACTGCTGGATGGTGAAGCGTAGAAGACAACCCCAAAACTAATTTGTACAAAGAAACATAGCAGTCCTATAAAATTGCCTCCGAAAACAACATATTACTGAAGTTTGAAATAAACATTGCACACGAATGACCTATAAACCCTAAATCCAGAAAATTAACAACAAAATAGAAAATTTAACCAAATTCAATCAAGAACTCAATATTGATACCAACTCCAAAATTCAGAAATAAAATTCGAATCATGAGAAATGAAAGTCTGAAGAGCAACTTAAACTTACAGAGAGAGGAGAATCGATGCTCTCGAGCGAGGAATAAGTGGAAGAAGGACGTAGATGTTGGCAGCTTCGACCTTCGATACCAACTTCGATACCAGATTG